TGGATGTAAACTTTAAACAATGATTTGGAAAGGAGGATTAGAAAATTTTGTTATTAAATATTATGGATGTTTAGCTAGAATAGGACATAAGGTCCTTTAGTGACCTTTCCATCCTTCCGAGGTGGGTAAAATGAGGACCCAGATTGTTGGGGGCAATATGCTGACTCTCTGTAAACCGCTTAGAGAGGCCTGAAAGGCCTATGAAGCGGTATATAAGTCTACTGCTATAGTCTACTGCTATTGACTTTGCAAAACTGCTTAGAGAGGGCTGTAAAAACACTGTGAAGTGGTATATAAGTCTAAGTGCTACTGCTATTGTCTGCTACGACCCACTCCCCTTCCTTCTATTTATTCCCGAGGCAAGGAGGGGCCATCCAGCATCCACGTTTCTTTTGTTTCCTGAGTTGACTCCTTGTCCTCTGTTGTTCACCTTTCCTATTTGCTCTGCGTCTCTGGAACAGGCCCCAGCTGTTTCTCCCCCTCACTCATTCCTGACTCCAAAGGCAGCTGCTTCTCTGGGGGCTGGGAAATACCGCATGGCCCTGGCTCTATCTCTGTCTCCAGATGCTGAGCATCCACCAGAGCCTTCCAGAGGCTCCAGAACTGAGCCAAGTTCTTCCCCAACCTTCTCATCATCCGAGTCTGCTGCCTGCTCCGTTGGCGGCTGGCAGGCCACAAGACTCCGAGCTTGTGGATTGGTTTCCAGATGTTTCGTTATCAGGTTAGGTAACATCTTCAGCAGAGACTTATGACTGTGAGTGACCCAGAATCATGTGATCACCATTTGTGACCTTCTCAGTGGGCTTCTGACAAAGTCAATGAGGGAAGCCAAATATGCTTATTCACTGTATGATTCACTTAATGATAAAAAAGAGTCATAAAATTGGGCACATTCACTTACACCACTTAGTTTCCATTCCTAATTATGGTTGTAAGTGAAGAACGTCCTATAATACTGATTTCTTATACTTGGAACCTTGGTGAACATCAACTGGAACATGGCTCAGTTAAAAGCATGGTAAAGAATTGCAGAGTTAAACTTTGAGCTTTATAGGAATCTAGCTTAAATATATGGGGGAAAATATTTACAAGTAATATGGCATTTTTTGGCTTTCTTTGAGTTAGTAGAACCTGTCCCTGAATTCCCAGCTAACTGGCAAAAGGAAAGTTGAGTTCTCTTTCCCCAAATTACAGAATACATTGCATTGCATTTTTGCAGTAGCTCCAAAAAAGTAGTTTTCTGCTCATCATTTCACTACTCAATACTTTCTTTTCGTAATGATTTACCTATAATATTTTTATTGTAGCCATCAAGGAAAAATATTTCAAAGTGATTCACAAAAAAAAGAAAACAATTCATTTATCATCTGAATTAAGATTATAAATTTATCTGTGGGAGGTTTTTTGTTTGTTTTCTGGTTTCAAAGAAGGTATTGAGCCAGTAGTTTCATCTTTAATATTCTCAAATGTAACGAAAAGAGAATACCTTTGAATAAGTACACTTAATTATGAACAAAACATTTTTGTTTGAAACAGTAACAAAAAAAAATTAATGTTTCTAGGGTAATAGTTTTGTTCTTTCTCTTAATCCATTACTGAAGTTTTTGTGACTGAAACCTGAGTGCTTCACTCTCTCTCTCTCTTTATTATCTGTATTTTAGGGATCGGGTTGTGGCTGTGTTTGTCCAGGGTCCCGCCTGGCAATTCAAGGGCTGGCCATGGTTACTACCTGACGGATCACCTGTGGATATTTTTGCAAAAAGTGAGGTTTTTACTTAGATGTAATTTTATGCAGTGTATTCATTCATAAATTATCTTTATTTTATTATGTCTTGATGTTAAAGTCTGGTGCTACTGTCAAAGCTGATGTGGTCTCATTAAATATTCAGTTAGTTAGCAAAGCCAGCTTGCAGTCCAGCTTCTATTTATTTATTTATTGTGTTTATATTGTACCTTACTTCTATGAGTGCAAGGAAGTGTACATGACCCTCCTTTAAAAACATTGTGAGGTAAATTGGGCTCAGAGAGACTGGCCCAGAGCCATCTGGGAAGCATCTATGACTGACCTTGAATTTTAACCTAGCTATTGAATGCAATAGATCCAGTCAAATTGAGAATTGAGAAGTCAGGCTAAGAACTGGAAAAAGAACCAAGATGTAAGTAACCTCTGTGGGGTTTTCCCACTGCTTATCATAACGCAAGAAATCATTCTTGGAAACAGGAACACAGACGGTTGAAATGATAATAATGTAAATATTATCTCCAAACCAGTTCGTAGGTTTGCTGCTAGAAATATGTAGCTCTTGACCTTCAAAAATGAAATCAAATGTTAGCAAAGATAAACTGCTTCTTTCTAATATGAACACTAACAGGGTTTTAAAGCATGTTTACCTATATCAAATTACAAGATCTATTGTAGACTGACATCTTTAAAAAATAAGAAAAAGAAGCGGAAATCATTTAAAAAAGCAATCCCCTGAAAGAGGAACCAAAGCAGTGGAGATCTCAAACAAAATTTCTTTATTGAAATACCTTAAAAGAATCAAACATGGAAGACCCTCAACTGTAGATGGCCAAAGAATTATACAATAGGTAGAAAAGATTCATGAGCAATCATGAAGAACCCCAACTCTTCATCAGTGATAAGATAATCATCAAATCTAACCTTGAAGCTTCAGGTTTTCTGTGAACGCTACATTGTTTTAACCCAAGAGTTGACATTGTTATTAATTATAATATACCCTTTTCATATTTCTTCACAAAATGCAAGTCTCTACCTTGTTACCTGCCTTCTCCTTTATTTCTCGGAGTCATTTGAAACTGAATTACAGCATTAAAGGGCATTCTGAATCCCAACAAACTTTCTTAGTTCTATACAATCTTCTACTCATCCCAGGAAATACGATTTAAACATGAGCATTAAATTCTTAACTATGAAAATCTGCTTTTATAGACTTTTAACTTCGCAAGGATTACAATGAGATGCAAGAAGTCTAAATGTATGGTACAACTCTTTGATTAGATCTCATCTGCAGTATCTCACATCAGCATTTATGCTAGCCAAAGTCCTCTCCTAGGCCAGAGGTCTGCAGCTTTTGATCTTTAATCCCCCCCATTTGTGGACTCTGCACTGTGTGCTCCTATAAAAATAATTTATTTTATCCCATTAGTCCACAGATGTTTGTGAGGAAGTTAACATTTGGAATGGAAACTTTTATATTTTGGCATTTTAACCAACATAAATGTTTTATTTGAATGCCATTTTAAAGGTCTAGTCACAATCACATGTTAATGCAAGTCTATTGAACTTGAAGATCACTTTTGTGGATGGATTCTTATTCACAAAACGTTCCGTACTGAGAATATCTTTTTGATATTCGTAGATTTATTTGTTAAGTGCATACATTCGCCATTTAGATATAGGTAATATACTGTAANTTGTAACCCAAGGATTTCCCACAGATGAGTCAAGTGATGTTTATTTGCAGAGTTTGGGAAGACTTCTGTACCAGGTCTTGGGCTTCTCTTGAGCCTCTGTTGAAAGATCTGATGGGGGTCAGGTTAGGGAATCAATCACCATGGGGGTAATCTATGTAGTCGCTATGAGGTGGTGCTGACTTGATGACATGTAATCAGTTGAACTATGTAGTCTCCAAACAGCATTTATCCATGTCAAGAAATCTTTTGAGTTTAGACACCTGCCTTTATTTTTTTATATTCTTGTAGGAATGTAGAATGTATATACATTGAAATCGCTACAAGTCCACAAGGAATGAAGAATTGCAAACGTTGGTTCAAGAATGATGTCATTGTCAGTTCACGCAAATAGCCATTTTGCCTTTGATATCCCTCTCCAGTTCAACCAATGCATCAAACACATGGATTGTTCTCTGTTGCAACCGAAAACCAAATTTGATGGTGCAGCTTCCCAGGCTCTTGCCCAGTGAAATATTTCTCCACTCGCTAACTCTCTCTGTACACAAAACAGAAGCTGCCTAAAATTAATGGCTTAGATGGTGATTTTAAAATTTAATGTGAGGCTGTGCTCATTTTAATTCAGAAGCTATAACTAATGCCAAGCACTTGATTAAGGCAATGTGTTCATGAAAAATTAAATACCCCTGCTTGGAGGAATTCTTGGCCTAGCAGGGTTAAAGTTCACCCAGTATGCTAGTGGCAATTGTCAATGGTGCAAATTATACCATGTAAATCAGATTTGGTAGATGTCAAATTCTGGCTATTCTAATGCCCTTATAATGAACACTGCAGATTTCATTAAAAATTGCAGTCATCAGCGGTGATTAGAATTTTTTCCCCTCCCCTGCTATTTACTTTGCCTCAAAAGACAATGTTACTCCAAATGTAGCAAGAACCAGAACCAGAAGTGAATCCTCTGTTCACATTTTATAATGTTGGTTTTCCTCCTATAACAAGTTGTAAAGAAATTGTAAAGAAACAGAACCTATATACAGTCAATCAATACGGTAAAAACAACTGTTCGCCAAGCAATAGTTCCGTGATACGGTAGTTTAAATTCATCAAAATAATGCTTACAAATTAGTTCAAATAATATTTTAATCCATAAATGGAAGAGAAATTAATCATATTCCAAGGGGAATATGCAATTGCAAGACTTCATTTTTACTGGGGTTTTTTGTATCAGCTAAAAGCCTTCACTGGTTATTCCAATAAACAGAAGAGATATCTTTCCTTTTGTTAGGTTAAGATATTCAGTACGTATACATTCTGCCTTTCATCCTGCAACTTAAAAATCCCTCTGCACAATTTCTAGAGTGGCTGCTATGAAGCCAGTGACAGTAGTATAATAAGCACTGCATTAAATTAAACAATACAATAAAAGCCATATAGAAAATAAAAGCACAAAAGATAAGATTCAATCAAAAGAGAAGGGTTGTTTTTTTAAAAAAAATGGAAACATAAGGTGCACAAATCCAGCTTTTATAGTTGCTTGTATTTTAGAATATCACAATCCAGCACCAGAAAAATCATTGCTCTGTTCATTTTCAATAGCTTGCATTTCAGTTACTCCTTGTTTCTTCCATTTATTTTTAGTGCAACTTGATATGAAATAACATTAGCTGGGTGTTGTGTGTGTGTATTAAAAATATAAATCACATCATAATTTACTGCTATTTTGGAGATAGATGTTACTTTCTTTTAATAAGTTAAGAAGACAAACCTCTTCTAATCTCTCCCATTGAAATCAATGGTGCTTAAATGAGCTTAATACGACCAAGATTGCAGCTGTCAATGTGGCTGAGCACTCAAGGAAATGTGTGTATTTACCCCTAGCTTTGATGTCCTGCT